GTTTATTATGTTGTAGTTGCTATTCTCGTTAATTTCCTTCAGCATGAAATAGCAGAGGTTGCTTACCTCCTGTTCTTCCCTTCGGAATATTCTTCTCCCTCTTCCAAAAGTATAACATCAAGCTCGGGCTTAGCAGAACAGTTCCCATGGATGATGTCAAACTCATTATCAATATTTTTCTTCTCTTTCCTTTCGAGTCTACAGTAAGTCTGCTAATATTGTTATCTAATTCAAAAGAAGCCATTCTAATGTAGATACCTTGTCCTTCTATGGGTAATTTTTTTAAATTAATTAGTTCTTCAAACCAAAGTAGGCATCCACTTTCCCCTTTGCTTATATCTTAGTATAAGCCATACAAGAGCAATTCTTCAAGCACACCACCTTGCACTCTTCGAGTGTCATACTCGTGTGAAATCTGGAATACCGCATCTAGCAACCTAATACCAGAATACTTGAGAATTACATCTTCACTTGTACAATTCAAGGGAGTTCTACGAATGGACCCATTCGACAAATTTTTCCTTCTCCAACCATCTGGATCTTCAGGCAAGAATCTATCTAAACATCCACAAATCGGAGAATTTGCGATATTGCAACTACCATATGCGCCACATAATCTATGTTATTTGATGGAGAATAAATGTAGACCACCCACCTCTGCATTATATCAACTCAGATCAAGCACTGTGAAACACCACTCTTAGTCAATGTAACCTTTGAAATAATTGATCTGCTAAGGAGCTCATAAGTAAAGTGCTCCTCATTTTTGTTTAAAACTACTTTGTATTTGTAAAAAGGAAAGACCCTCAAGTTTGGCATCCCACTATAGTGGAGTCTATTCCAAGGTCCACTTTTGAACTTCACATCCGAACCTTTCCTCAAGACACGTTGTGGATAACCGGTAGGATCAAGTGATATGTAAAATCTCCTGAAGACGGATCATCTTTGCTCTTCCATGACTATAGATACACTTCATGACCAATTTTAAAGTTCCAACCAAACTTCATTCCTAGTAATAATGTATCAGTTGGATAATTAAAACTCTCCCAAAGGAAATTCCTTGGGTCTTCATTGTTTACATCTGTCACAACAAGATTTCCCGAGTCCGACAATTTTGGGACAGGATTTTTCATAGGTTGTGATGTGTTAGAAGACCATACGATGACACCATTAGTGCCATTTTGCAGAACTAGAAGTCCTGGTTTGACAACCTTCAAGAGTCTTGATGTGTTTATAAGTGGACCTTGCAGGGAAAATTGGTGATTTGTGTGTAAATATTTATCATAATAAGCATAACCTTACTATATATAATTCAACTATAATCATAACCATAAGAATTCAATAATAAAATGAACATAAAATTTAAGTAGAGAAGAGTTAGAAAGAAAGCAAACCTTGGAAGTCACGTCGAATACTCTGTTCTAAAGTCATATTGCTTCTCCTTCGTGCGGGTGCTTTCGGCACTACATGACTTCAAGATAAAACTCATATGACTCATAGTCAGTTCTCCTTCTATAGGCACGATCACAAGGCGATAAAGAACGAACCTCACATCAAGTTGTCAAAAATTATAGAAATATAATATA